TTCCCTACAAGCCAATCTAAACTGTTTTCCCAAAGCGTTTGTCTCCAAATTATTAAAAGTTTTCAGTTAAGTACATCATTACTAGTAAAGTTTTTGTTAACACTTAAGTTTTCTTTTTTATGAATCTTTCTGAATTTACCGTTTTCAATGATTGCCTTTCAAACTATACAACAATAAACAATTTCCCAAAGACGTAGAAACCGGTAACCACCTTTTTGGAGAACAATTTAGCATTAAGGATCATGTTTGCCTCACTTCTACCTGCAGGGGATCAGGGTATGCCACCCTGAAATATGCCACTTTCGTATAAGGATTATTTTGACCTTAAGGCAACTGAGAATCAACAGATGCAGGAAGAGTTCTCTGCCTTTCCTATATCCACCTAAAAGCAGGGCATAAATTTCCCATGTGAAGGTATCCTCTCTCCCACACCAGGGAGAGTGACTCTTACCAGGGAGAGTGACTCTTACCACTAGAGCTGGCACTGAGAAGAGTCTGCATCAACAACCCTTACTAAAAATAACCGTTGTTTTTCACTATATATTTCCAAGTCACTTCTACACGGTTGATCATCCCTCAAAGCCTAAACTCCCTAGTTTTGTTAGAATTGCAATATAAGCCCTTGAATCTCACCACTCCTTGAGTTTCACTTCTTTTCTGTGAAGTCCTGTGCACATAAAATAGTAATAAAATTTTATGCTTTTTATCGTGTTAATCTGTCTTTGTCAGTTTATTTTGCAGGTCCTCAAGACAAGAACTAAGGGTGGAGGAAAAGTTTCCTCCTCCCAGACACAACTCTTATAATTTATTCTAAGTAATCGGAAATTTTGTCAAATATTTTCCTACAATAATGTCAATCATAGTCTTATGAATAAAAGCCCCTAATGAGAAAAAAACTAATTTCCACAAAAAAAGGATTAAATTGTACTTTGAGAATCTGGAACAATTTATGCAACAATTTAAAATGTATTTTCGAAATTACGTACTAGAAGGGCAATATATTTATAATATGTTTGGTGAAAATGCAATTTATGTTTGGTGAAAAAGAGTTGTATAGTTAGTATACAAAACCGTATAATGACATGATTTTATAAAGATTAAATATATTATAGGAAAAAAGGCAAAAAAGAAATGCATCAAATTAGAAGCTGTATTTGAGTGTTGGAATTATTGGTGATTTTCTTTCCTATGTTTCTACACTAGTTAATAATGGTAAAAAATGCTATTACATATATTTTTTAATTTAAAAAAAAAAAAAGGCTATTTCGGAAGGAGTTACAGGTGTCCATTCCACAAACCACGTTTGGAAGGTCACTGTTCCAGAAAGATTCAAGAAGGCAAGGATTGGTCTCTGAAAGGCAAGACCACATCTCTGTTCAGAAGAGAGCGGTCCAGCTCAGCTTGGCTCACAGTTTCTCTTTCAGTTTTTCTTTGAAGAGGAATTGGAAACCGAAACAAACCTAGCGCGTCTGGAAAACGAAACTGCTGCAGCTGCGCCCTGGCAGCGCCGAGCAGTTTCCCATCTCCTGCAGCCCCAGCGGACCCAAGGCTCCCAACGCCCCATCCTGCTCCGCCCGGTGCCCCGCACCTGTGTCCTGGCGCTTACCTGGCCGCTCCTCGCGCGGCTTTCCCCTCCGGCCCAGCTGGCCCTGAGTGTTGTCCCCACACGAGTGAACGGTGCCATCGCTCAGCAGCAGCAGCGAGTGGCGCTCCCCGCAGGCCGCTTGCCGCACCTCGGCGCCGCCCGCGCCCGTCGGTACTCGGCGCAGCTGCCCCCCGTTGCCCCAGCAGAAGTACATCCCGCTCGCGCGCCCCGCCGCCTGCCGCGGTCTGTCCGCTTCGCCTCGACCGGCTTCCAAAGGCTTAATGGGCTGTGTGCTGATTTCCCAAAACCCAGAGGCTACGTGGGCCAGCCCCACCCTGGTCCCTCACTGCGGTTGGCCTCGCCCCCAGAAGCGCTGCCCTGGCGCCGCCTGACGATAACGGCTTTTGGGGCTCACACACCGCGCCAAGCGCTGAGGAGCAGAGAGGGACTCAAGACGTTTACAACCCAGCTAAGCCGGTGTGGCTTTGGACGAGTTGCTTAACAATTCTGTTCCTCATGAAATGCGAACAGTAGTACGGCAAATCTAATGTGTTAGAACAATTTAATAGACAATTCATAATGTCAGAATAACGTCCAGAGTGCTTAATAAAAGCATCAGAATGCCGACCCTCGTTCAGACTTCTTGGCACTGGAAATGCAAAATCCTCCTTGTGGTTATAGTCTCCTACTTATAAACAGATACATACTTAGTATAAGGTCAAGTGGCAACATGAAAAAAAAAAATAAAACTAAAGGAATAGAGAGAGTGGGGGCAGAAGGAACTAGTATTTTTTGATAAAATATCAGGGAAGATATGAATTGACATTTAAGTAGAGAACAGAGGGAACATGAGAAATGAGGCAATGAGTCGTGGTCTTAGGGCAGAGGTTGCAAGGGAGCAATTAGATTTTGAACAAAGTGACATGATCTAACTTAATTTTAAAAGAATCATTCTCAACTGCCACGTAGAAAATAATACAACAAAAATGGAAGCAGAAAAGCCAGTTGGGAGAGGCTGCTGTAGGAGGCCAGATTAGAAGGATGATGCTGGGACTAAGGTAATATACTAGAGGGAAGGAGAGAAGAAATGATCACATTCAAGATGTTGTGAAAATCAGATTTGCGGATGAATTGGAAGTGAGAGAAAAGAAGGAAAATGATTAGGATTACAGGTCCGCCTGAGGATCTGGGTGAATGGTGCTACCCTTTACCTGGAGGAAGAACTGGGAGGGAAGCACCACTTTGGGGCGATTGGATCAGAAGTCCAGTCTGGTAATAACTGAGAGATGCTTGTTATGCAAGGAGGCAATAAGATAAATGATTTTAGAGTTGTGGAGAAAAGTCGGGGCGGAGTCATACTTTTGGCAGTCATCAGTGTAGAGATAATACTTAAAGCCAGATGGCTGACTGAGATCACCAGGAGGTGAGTGTGGCTAGCATATAACAGAGGACCAATCCTAGGAGGAAAACTAGAAGGGCAGGTGTGCACCAAACAAGTGAAGAATAAGGGAACGATCAACTTTGTCAACTGTTGGTGGAGCAGATAAGGATTGAGTATTGATCTTGAGGTTTGGCAAAATGGAGGTGATTGATGACTTTGACAATGTTGGTCATCAACAGCATTATTGTTTTATTTTTACTTTTATAGTATCCATTTGTATACTCTCAGCTCACCTCACTTTACTACCACATTTTAAGTTCTCTAAAGTTGAGAATAAATGTTATTTATTTTTCACTCTTACGAGCACCTGACACATGGTAGATACTAATAAATATGTATTGGACAAATGGTTTGATGAGTGGTAAGTAAATGAATTGCAGTCATACTTATGGTTCCATTTCACCATATACTACATGTAACCTTTTTCTAATTTCTAAATTTTCTAATTTTCTAATTTCTAAATTTCCCAAATGTTTATTGCTTTCCTCAGGTACAAACTGTAATAGTTTGGTATTATCATCCTAAGACATTGAGCCCTCAGGATATTAAGTTATTTCTTTAAAAAAAAAAATCTACTGGAGACCTAAAATGTAAATATATTATACTCATTTTGTGTCCCCACCATTTAGTACAGTGTCTGCCACATTAAAAAAAACTCAATAAATGTTAGTGAGATAAGTAAATAAAATGTAAATTAAAGAAGTTGACCATACTTTTGTTGCTTGAGAAAGATATAATTATCCATTCACCTGTGTTCATGCACTTGGAAATAGTAGTTCCCATTTATTGAACCTTTTGCATGTGTTGACTATTTTATATAAAATATCTAATTTAATTCTTTCATCTGCTTTTCTTAGTGGAGACTGTTTTGGTTGCAAATGACAGAAAATATGACCTAAGCTCACTTAAGCAAAAGAGAAATTTACTGGTAGATTACATTATTTTTATCATTAAAAGAAATTTTTGCTGCCCCTCTCTACTGTATAGCATCAAGCTTGAGCATGTGACATGCAAGCAGGATACATCTTCTAGGCAGATGGTTTAAAAACCAGTGTTTATTTTCTCTATTCTTTTTTTCTCCTTTATTACAACACCTAGTGATTTTCCAGATAGAGATTACTCCATCATCCTGGGTCTCAGATTAAAAACAATAATTTAGCAGTTGAAATTAATCTATGTAGCATAAGTGAGAAATGATTTTTTGTTGTTGTGAGGCCCTGAGCTTTTGAGGGGGTGATTGTTATTGCACAGAGATCATAACTTAGCATCTTCTGACAGTCACATAACTGAAAGCCCATCAACATAGATGATTTCAGGAACTGCTGTCAACAAGGACTTAATGTGCTAATGACTCTATTTCTCTCTGCCTTTCACTCTGCCTCTTGCTATGAAGACTTCATCTTCACGCTCCATGTAGTGTATCAAATATTTCGCGCTCCATGCAGTGTATTAAACAGTTCCAGACTCTCCTCTGAGGTGGCAAGAGGGTTGCAGCAGTTCTAAACTTTATACAAAGCTCTCAGATTCATGCCCTGTGGAGAATCTGCTCACAAAAGTCCTGGAGTTTAGCTGTGATGCCCTCCACGGCCGAGTTTCAGTCATATGTCTATCCCTGAGCTAATCACTGTGGATGCCAGGAGGGGGAGTCAATCAATCAATCACCTGGCAGATCTCTATGCTAATTTTGTGAGTAAGGAATCAAAACTCAGTGAATTTTAGTAATTTGCTTGAAGTTACATGGCATGCTAAGTGGCAGGATTTTCACACTAGTCAATTTGACTAGAAAGCCTATTTAATTTCCATTATAACATAGTTTTTAGTCCTTGATCTCTCCTCTAGTGCCCTTTTCTGATTAATAGCACATCCTCACAACCATTATATCCAGAAAATTCTAAATCATTTTATATTCCCTCCCCATTATAAAACTTCCCCTAACCAATTAGCTGCTGAAGGATGTAGACTCATATCAGCAACATTTCATTTTCTATCTACTTTATATCTCTGCCACGCCTACCCTCATTCGGATGTCTGTATCTCTAATATCTGGCATCTCTAATCAATCTTTTTCTGTTCTCTCTTGTGTTATTTGCAGGAAACACAGCTTTGATCACATTGTATAACTTCTTTAATGGTAGTAGTCTTATTTCTACAGAAAAAATACATACAAAATCTTTTGTGTATATATTAAGGCCCTCCGTGATCTGCTTATAACTGATCTTTCCAGCTGCATTTCACCAACAATTATAGGTGTCACATGCACATGCATGTGTGCATGTGTGCAAACACACACACACACACACACACACACACACACTCTGAGGCTACTGTCACAACAAACAACTTGCCTTTTCCTACTTGCTTTTTTCCATATGCATGCCTTCATTCATATTTTTAAGATATTTTTTTAATTTTTACTGAATGTCCACTATAGGAATAACATAAAGCAAACAAAATGTAATAATTATCATTCACTTTAGTATTTACTTTAGACTTTACAAAATCCTTCCAGCTATTTTACTTGCAGTGTCCCTTAAGCTTAGTGGAAGCCATGAGAGGGAATATGGTCCCTATATCACAAATGAAGAATTTAGGATCAGAGGGTGGAAGTGATTGGTCTCAAATTACAGGTGGGTAAGTGCAATAGCCCCTGGATTTTCTTTCCACCATACAACCACGTCTGATGAGCGTCCCTTTCTCAGAGAACACTCAGGTAAAAAATAGACAAGTGATCAAAATTGACTGTCATGTTAGCCTTAAGATCATATGTTGAAGGTTATTTATACCGAATAGCTCATACAAATAGCTTATTTTTCTTTTTAAGTAATTTTTTCCTAATGGTTATTTAAGGAGTACAGGAGAATGAGAAAAGGGAAAGAAAATAAAATTTTCTAACTACCTACCTCATGCCGGTTTCTCTCACCATACATTTCCCCACTTAAGCTTTGCAACCACTCCCTGAGGTCCATATTACATAGTCCATAGAGATAAACAACTTGGGTCTTAAAAAATTGAGGTGACTTTCTCAAGAAAAATAGTAAGATAAATTGGGGACCCCAGGTCCAAACCACACCTCCCTTCACTATCTTCTTTCCACCAAACAGCACTGACTCAGAGTGAGATAAGAACAATGTTGGAAAGGGGGTGAGAGAGACGAAGGGCTCATAAAAAAGGTCATTATGGAGCACACGGGGTTGAGGAAAAACAGAATAAATCATTTAGGAGCGGGGTAAATAGGCCTGAGGTCAGTCCTTAAGGATCAGTTGGAAAGACATCTGAGAAGAACTAGAGACACTGCAATTTCATTGCTTTCCTCTGCCATCCTCTTCCTAGACCCACTTCTGCTTTAACCTCCATGCTTCTGAGGTCAGAGTCGATCCTCTGTGTTACTTAGCCAGGACAGCCCTTAGACTAGACAGATGGGAAGTGGAACACACTCTATGTATTAGTTCGGTTTATGAGGATCCTTCAACTGCCATCCCAGTTACCTCCAGGTGGCTCCCTTGCAAATGTCATCCGGTGGTTCTTCACAAATGGACAAGACAATTAGGATAGCCAGTACTCGTCTCCCTGTAGATAAGAAATGGTAGTTTTGATTTTTAACTCTAGATGGCAGTATTTGTCAACCAAATCTCTTTAATCTTAGGAAATGACCTATTTTTATGGTTGGTAGATTAATGGTTGACATCTCTTTTCTATAAGTAGTCTAGTAATTATTCACAGATTTTAATGATTTTTCTTTCCCATGCTCATTGCAAGATATTGGTATTTAAATTACTTTAAAGATACAAAATGCTGTACTCATTGTATTATTACTATATCATCACCATAACACATTACATCACAATACTGCATTTCTCTGGAGTCTATCGGCCATCTCAGAGCTCCAGAACATAGCCCTGAACTTGATAGAAAGAGGAAAATGCCTTTG